GCAGCAGTGGCGGAACGCGCAGGGCACGACAAGAATAACCAAGAAATAACACCACGGACGAGGAGATAACCGAACCCGTCAAAGCGCGTAGGGGCGACAAGGACAATGACAAAGACAAGGGCATGGGCAGGGGGGCGAAGCGACAGAGGAAGGGCTAGGACCGTCTCTCCCGATCCACCTCGTCGCCCCATCCTCCTGTTCCTGTTCGTCGCCAACGCCTCCGTCGTAAGTATTTATGCTGCGATTCCTCCTCGTTGGTTCTCTTCCGCCTGCTCCCCCGCGCGCCCCGGGGCGGCGCGCCCTGGGCCGCGGGGCAACCGCGTCGGCGGCGGCGCCGACTTCTTCGCGCAGCAGCGCGGTCTCTCGCGTCAGCGCGACAGAATATATATATATATATATATATATATATATATATATAACATATGTGTATGTATATAGTGGGATTGGCGACCCCGTCCATCGCAGGGGCGCGCGCGGCAAACCCCGCCAGGGGGGCGGGTTGAGGTCCGGGCCGACTCTCTCGAGGAGAGCTTTTTCTCAAGAGAGCCCTCTTAGGATAATTCTCTGAAGGGGGTTCTTTTAGGAGAACTGCGAGGATGTCTCAGGCGAAACCAACGGTTCTCTTAAGAGAACTATCGCACGAGAGTCCTCTTAAGAGAATCTCACCTGCATGGTGCGCACGCAGCGGGGCCCAGGCCCCTTTTCTGAGGGGCGAGGTGCAGTTTTCTGAGAGAGGACGCGCGCGAGGCAGCCGCGACGGGCCCCTTGCCGAGGGGGGCCCAGCCCCCTTTCCGATGGGGGGGGGGGGGGGGCGAGGGGGCGGAGGCCCTCGTGGAGGGGGCGCGCTGCCCTTCAACGAGGGGAACAGCTTCCGCCAGCGAGGGCGCGAACCCTTCTTGGAGGGGAGGGTTGCGACCGCGAAGGCGCCAAAACCCCTTGGAGGGAACATAAGCGAACCCCGATTGAGGGGGGCCGCGACGACGCCGACGTCGGCGACGATCGACCTAGCATTTATTCGCAGCTGTTGCGGTTTCGGAGCATCCGGGTTGCAGGGGCAGAGTTCGCTTCCGCGGCGACCATGGGCGGCGCTGCAGGCGTCGCTCCTCTGATCCCGCCGGGCAGTCCCCTCGCGAAGTTGCGCGGCGTGGCCCCAGAGAGGAAGGGGGGGCCCGATGGCCGGCCAGGCGTCGCAGCGGCGAAGAAGTCGAAGGCTGCTCCGAAGGGTCATAGGCACGACAAGCAGGAGGCCGACAAAATGAGGGCGCGCCTCCGTTACCGGTACGGGAAGAAGGACGCCGACGGCAGGGCTGCGCCCGTGGCGAAAGCAGCCAAATCAGCCCGGGCCACGTGGAGCGGAACGAGAGACCCAGACAATCGGAAGCGCCCCTTGCAGATTTTCACGAATGATAGGCAGAAGACGCTGGATTGCCTGGCAACGTTTGAAGATAATTGCACGAACGAGGAGGCGCACGCCCGCTCTGCCAAGAGGGGGTGCCATAACTCGTCGAAGAGCTTTGCCATCAAAGACTTTGATCGCGTCCAGGAAGCCACGGCGTTCTTGCAGGGATGGCGGGGGGGGGGGGGGGCTGCGCAGCGCGTGGGGCCGCGGGGGAGTTTCCGGCGCGCGAAAGGGGGGGGGGAACGCCTCCTTGGAAACAGTTGTACTTCGTTGAGCGCAGCATGGACGATGACAAGCTCGCGACGAAGGGTTCGCGCGGTTCCAAGAGAACATCCCATTTGAAGAACGCGGAGCAGCCCGAAGCCGCGGGCGCCATGATGGCCCGGCCCCCCATCGCCCAGCCCCTCTGGGGCAGCGGCGGGCCAGGCGGCGGTCGAGAGCCCGCGCTGACCAGAGATCGCGGGTAAGAAGGACGAGATCGCGCGCCGCCCTCGGCAGCCGCCCCCTCTGCGCTTCCTCCTCTCCTGTTCGGCGAGGCCCCTCAGAGAGGGGCCATCTCCATGTTCGTTCGCCCCGTCTGATGCCCTTTTCCAGGGGGTCGCCCCTTTGCTTTACTTGAACAAAAAACGGATGTCGCGCGCATGCCCCCTGCTGAGGTCAACGCTGGCCAAGCATCAGAAGCAGCTCAAGTATTTGAAATCCACGAAGAACCATTTGCTCGCGAAGGCGGGGGGTGAGGAACAGAAGGAGGAGAGCTTCCATAACTGGGCTAATGATCGCAAGAAGTGCGCGGGGCATGCGGACTGGCACGAGGCGGCAATGAATATCCTCCTCGCCAACATTGATAACGCGGAGCCCGTCGGCACATATCTCAAGATGCACGCGAAGCTGAAGACCGAGGTCGTTGCCACCAACAGCGCGATGGGGCACGCGTACGAGTGCATTCAGCTGTCGTGCAAGCGCTTCAAGAAGTTCCTCGACTGGGCTCTGGGCCTCAATCTTATCCATATATACATGCATATCAACATGCACATCTACAGCATAGGGTGGGAAGCATTGCCGTATTGCCTCGCCCGACAACGAGAGCGCAGAGCTTCCAATGTTGCGTCGCCACGCACAGAAAGAAAACGCGCCGTTTCTTCATGGGCCCCCTCCGCGAGGGGCCGCGCGCGTCTGCGGTTGGTTAGGGTTCCACCGTTGGCGCGCGCAGGCGCGCAAGCAGAAACCTTCGCCGCAGGGGGGGGCATAGGGGGCATGGGGGCTGGATATTACTGGCCAGCGCTAGGGTGACGGAGGGCATTGCAGGAAGGGGGGGGGGGGGGGGGGGGGGGGGGAAGTGCAAGGGCAGATGGGGGCGGAAGTGCCTGGGTGAAGCATGGGGTTGAAGGGCCCCCTCCAGGAGAGGCGCGGCGCGGAGCAATGTTGTCTTGCCTCGGCCGTCCGTTTCCGCAGCGCTGGCTCAAGGCATCCGCGCTCGCGCCCGTCTCCCGCGGAGGGGCTGCCATCGGCGCGCTTTCCATGCGTAAGTTGCCTTGGGACAGGCTTCATCTGCCACCGCGGAGGCGGCTGAGAGCGAGCGTGGAGGACCTGATCAGCAGCAGCGTGGTCAGCAGCGCGGTGCCCAGTTGATTAATGACGCCGTCTCTGCGTCTGCGGCAGGCGTTGCCGACTTGCAGACCCCTGAAACCACGTCAGGCATGAAATCTGCTGCCAGGAAGTTCATGCGCCAATTCTTCATGGCGGGGTGGCCTCCGCTTCATCGCTGCCCGGCAAAGGGGCGGGGCCCCAAGTCTGAGACTGAGCGGCCGATGGATATAGCGATGGTGCTTCCACGACAGATCCATTACAAGCTTCGACAAGCTTGGCGATCGGAGCGCGCTTCTGGGGGCGTCGAGTCTCGACGGCGTGTCTTTGCGCCGCGTGCGGAAAGCGAGAGCTGAGAGCGGTTGCGACGACCCCGTGGCCTTGGGCGCGTGGCAGGACGGAACCCCGTGCTTCTGGGGCCGATCTGCGAGCGCATAAATCACCAGCCGCGCGCTGCCAGGGGCTGCAGGGAGCTGGAGAAACATGCGGGCACCCTTCGCCGCGTTCCTCAAAAAGCACGTTGGCCCTCCTACTTTTTTCTGATGATATCTTCGCTGTGGTGCAGTGGGGCGTCATTTACTTGGTTGCGAAGCGCTGGCCGACGGCGCGGCACGACGGTTCCCCTTTTGGCGCGACAGATGTCTGGAGGAGGCGCCAGCAGGCAGCTTCACCGGTTGGCGGAGTGCTTTGCCAGACCAAAGGGGGCTGGATGATGATGAAGGACGTGCTCGAGCTACCTGGCTGGCAGGACGACGAGGTGTGCGTCTTGTGCATCATCGACAGGTTCGATGCCCGTGGCGCCCAAGCGTTCGCGACAACTCCTGGATGATATTCCCCTCTGGAAGGCAGCGCCCCCCTCTTGGATGGGGGGTCGTCGATCGCGGCCCCCGCCGCAGGGCGAGCGGCGGAAAGGAGAAGAGGAGGGGGGATGGGGGTGGGGGAAGAAGACGGCGACGTTAGGGGGGGACGGGGTGGATTGAGGAGGAGACGAGGACGAGGGGAAGGAGGAGGAGGGAGGGCATATAGGTGTACGAGCGTGCCTCCTTGTATGTATGTATGTATGTATGTGTGTATGTATGTATGTATGCGTATGTATGTACGTGCGGACATACACATATATATATGTATATATATATATGTATATATTACATGCATGCATGTAAGTATATATGTGTGTACAGTTATATGTATGTAACTTCGTCGATGTGTTTATTTGTTTGTGTGTTTTTGTGTGTGTTTGTTTTTTGTTTGATTTGTGTGTATGTGTATATATATATATACACCAACATAGGTGTAAGCCGCGGGTGGGCCCGGGAGCGCGGCCCCGGATTGGCATGGCCGCTCTTGAAGCTTCACGGTCGCCCGATCACCCCGAATTGGCCCCATGAGCGTTCCGATGGTTGCACAATTGCGACCAAAGTCGACCACACTGTTTCAACACAAGCCGAGACCGCCGAAGATGGCTCTCGGACGGACCCCGGAGGGTTCTAGATTGCGCCAGGACGGCCCTGGGCGGCGTTCAGTAGTCGCAAGAGGTCCCAGAAGTGGGCCCCGAGAGGCATCCATCGTCCCATTTCATTGCGGGAACGCGCATGTCCAGCATGCTGCATTTGTCGCGTTTCGCCATTTCCAGGACGGCCCAAGAGGCCCCAAGACGGTCCCAAGGCGGGCCAGCAACACCCCCAACATGGGCCCAGAGTAGCACCGCAGCCGTTGGGTTCGTACACAAATTGCTGAACCCGTCAGCTTACAATTCTCACAAGTCCACAAATACCGACACACTCTTCCCGAATACGTTTTTATCCGCCCATGGCGGCCATGAAGTTAACCATCGTCATGATGCTAGCACGCGGCTGGGCCGGTGTGAACGGCACCTTGACATCCGATGTACACCTAATCCAGACGCGCATCGTGGAGCAGCACAACGGCACCAAGAGCACCAAGCCCACCAGCGGCAGGAGCCACGCAAAGCGCAACGTAGCGGCACCAAGCGTACAGCCGAGTGGGTGCGTTGATAATGATGCAGGCGCGGTTGACCTTGCAAAGGGTCATGCGCGGATGGATGACGTCAGCAGCTGCTTGGACGTCGGCCCTTTCTGCGCGGACGCGAACCTCTCGGGCCAGATCCTGGCGCTGTGCTGCGCCACGTGCACGGCGGGGCCCGCCCCAGAGCACGGCGCGGTCCACTGCCAGGATCACTCGGAGTGTCCGCCCTCGGAGTTCTGCTACGACGGCACGTGCGACAGTTGCAGCCAGTGCCAGTTCTGCTCCGACTGCAACTACGCCGACGAGTGCGGGCACTGCGGCGCGGGGTTCCCGACGCAGGAGACAACCCCTTGCCACGCCCACGAGTACGTGCGAGGTCACCAGGGGCCCCGTCACGGTCACACACGCGTGGAAGAACATGTCTTCGGATCAGCAGCTACATTTTCTCGAGGAGAAGTTCGGCGAGCTCGACAAGGATAACTCTTCGTCCCTGGACGTGGACGAGCTCGTCGGCACCTTGACCGGACAGGACCTCGTCGCGCTCGAGGGCGCCAGCGATCACATCAATGTCCCTTTTGACAGCGTCATACTTTCCAGGGCCTCGGTGCAGGAGTTTGTCGAGAAGCACAGTGCCAGCGGCAGCGGCTTCCTGACCCTCGATGAGTGGCTCGCCACAACTCCGCAGACGGAACCGGCTGCCCGAGCGAAGGCCTTGCGCGGGCCCTCCTGCTCCTTCGAGGAGATCTTCTCGCTCCCCAGCACTTGCACGGAGACGCAGTGGGTAGACAACTGCGGGAACACCTGCAGCGACAGTTGCACCAAGTGCGCACGAATGGCGCACTCGAGCTCGAGCTCCGCTGCTCCCATCGACCAGAATTCGAGCTCCGTCGCGCGAGCGTCCCAAGAGCTTGAGTTCTGGGGCGGGCGGCGCCGGCGTCGTTGGTTCAGCGCCGTCACGGATGTGGTCAACACGGTCGTCGACTTCGCTGCGTGCACCGTGAGTTGCGTGACGAATTGCGTGTGGACATGTTTTACGGAGGCAGTGGAGTACGTGTACCATTGCGTGGTCGACACTGTGGTGACAACGCTCATGGGTTTCGGAGAGTGTCTGTCAACGGTGATCAACGCTGTCCACGACGCGGTCGGTGACGCATGCGGTTTCGATCTCATCCCCACAGGGTGTTCAGGCGTCTTTGATTGTATCGCAGAGGGCGCGAGCAATGCCCTCTCACTGTTCGAGTGCGGGTTTTCTGTTCTGTTGGATATACTCGAGAACATGGTCATGGCAAATCTTCGCTGCCTGCCGAACCTCGCCGACGGGCTTAGGGCGGCCCTATTTCCTCCGGAGGCTATAATTGTCACGACGGTTTTCGAGGCATTGTGGAATTTCGGTGAGCGGGTCGTGAACGGGATCTACGAAGAAGCTTCGTCCGTAAGCATCGACTTCTGCTGGAACTCGGCCCCCACTGCCGAATTCACTGACTGTGGCGCCTTCGATTTCGTCAGCAGTATGACTATATGGGACGTGTTCGACGTGTTCGGGATGGCCGCGCGTTTTTCAGAAACTGTGACGAAGTTTACGAACTGCTTGACGAAGTTTACAAGCTTGCCGGGGGTATCCTTCGGCATCCCGACCCCCTTTCTGAACGTTGATTGGACAGGAGGCTCATGGTGTGCGCCAAGCTTCGTTCAAACAGCAGCCAAAGGAGTCATTGGCGTGTTCAAGTACGTATCTTCAGGACGGATGCTCGATGACCTCATCACTGTAGGTGACAATCTCCTCACCAATCTTCAGACGAGATTGGAAGCAGTGTTCTGTGACGAAGGCGACTTCACCATCACTTTGGGCGTCGACCTCCAGTTCGGATACGCAGTGCTTGGAATCAAGGCTCAGGCTGGATGCCTCAATGGAAGATTCGCCGCCAAGATTGTCGGCTTTGCCACAGGCAGAATTTCCATCTTCGGTTCGCCGTACTCGTGGGAACCACTTGCCAGTGCGTTCTTCAGTATTGGTTGCACGGCGGGGCCCTCAAGCACGGAGTGGTCGTATTGGTCGTCGTCTCTGAACGGCATCCTCGCGTTCGATATTGTCGCGGGGGTGGTTTCTCTGCCTCTCTATCCAGAGCCGAAGCTCGAGTTTGGCTACGAGTTCGCGATCACACTCTGGCCCCAACCATCCCCGCCCCCACGCCTGTCGGAGGGGGAGTTCAACAAGACATCCCTGCTGCCGGCGCTGCGCCTCCTGTCCAGGGCAACCTCCGAGCCCAGTTTCGGTGAAGACGTCAAGAGCAAGTTCCCAGACCCCAAGCCTATCCTCGAGGGAGCCCGCAACGGGTCGCTCCAGAGGACCAGCACGAACAAGAGTGCAGGTGACCTCGCCGCCAGGATCGCCATCTCCGTCTCGAAGAACTTCTGTTTTACGTGCGATGGTTTTGGGTCGGAGCCTGCCTGGGTCACGGGCCTGTCCAACATGGCCCAGCAGTTCAGCTGCAGTGTGGGCCAGGCGATGGCGGGAGCCTCTTGGGGTGCCGTGAGTCTTGCCCAGTGTTTTGCGAGAGTGGCAGACTGGGAGGCGGCCGGGAACTACTGCGAGTACTTGTATTCCGACTCGCCGAGCAACGGCGGCTTGGGGAGCACCTGCGCTTGCATGCCGCCGGATGCGATGAGTTCGGGGGTCTGCCGTGCCCAGGCTGGAAGCAGGGTCAGCGAGGGGTCGACGGCGTTCGTGACTTACCGGCATCAGATGCTGACTTGCGAGACTGGGGCCGGGGCGGCCTGCAGGACTTGTACCTCGCCGCAGGAGCGAGTAGTGAGAGACCAATGTGAGACTTGCAACGACGGCCACATCCTGGTCGGCTACACGTGCTCGGCCTTCACGCCCTCTCCGACGCCAAGCCCGACGTCGTATCCGACGCCAAGCCCGACGCCAAGCCCGACGCCAAGCCCCACGCCACTGCCACCCGGCAACACGCACTCTCCGACGTCAAGCCCGACGCCAGAGCCGACATTGCACCCGACGCCAAAGCCTACACCAAGCCCGACTGGGTATCCGACGCCAAGCCCGACGGCCTATCCGACGCCACACCCGACGCCACACCCGACGCCTGCTCTGGGGGGAAATTCATGGGTGCAGTTGTTGGACAATTTCGAATACTACGGCGTCGCCATGCCTTCATATGTTGCCCCTATGGCGTACGGGTCGTTCACACAGTTGCAAGCAACTTACGTGGGTGGAGCTGGCATCTGGTGCGATACAAAAAGGTCTGGCGGCACCGTGTGGCAACAGTGCTGCTGTGGGTACAGTGGGTCCTTCGAGTTCATGAAGAATGGAGGGTACATTTTGTCACAAAGCCAGTGGGGTACGCTGCCGTCCCAATGCTCAGTGTCTGGGCACACAGTTACTTGCAATGTCAACTTTGACTTGTCGCTCGGCGATACGATTCTGGCCACTTGGTACGAGCCTTCCCGGTCAACATCGCTCGGAGACAATGGCGGCAGCATCGTGGTGGACGTGTACGGGTATGGATCCACATCGCAAGGTTGGTCTAAATTTTACCAGATCCAGGATGGCGACAGGGGGTCCTATTCCTTCCCCCTGACAACCGGAGCTTACGGAAACATTTATTCGTCGATCGGCTCAAGTAATGCAAAGTTGTCCGATGCTGCTATCAATTCAATGGCGTTGGCCAGAGATGGCTACTCGCACGTGTACGCAATCAAAAGCTCCGATTGCTCTTCGTACCTATATGTCAGGTCGAACGACGCGTACGTTGACACATCGGCATCGTTCGGCCTTACCCAGGGCAATACCCGTGTTGGGCTTGGGACCTCGTACGAGTCGGTGTCGACCTGGGCCACTCTACGTTCCACAAGCCACGGCATAGACTTACTCTACACAAGCCCAAATCTTGGTGGGGAGTCGTGCTGTCGTTACTTCTTCGGACATGGACAGATCGATTGTTGGGCCGGCCCTTCGGGCTACCGCTGCGTCAACGGTGGGTCCTCGTGCTCCAGTTATAAGAAGTTGGAAGATGTAGTGTTTTACATATGGGCAGACACTGCAACATACAGCCCCACATCCTACCCGACTCCCCGCCCAACGTTCTTCCCGACGGCCTACCCGACGCCAGACCCGACGCCCCAGCCGACGCTAGAGCCGACGCCCTACCCGACGAAGGTCCCAACGCCAAACCCGACGCACATCCCGACTCCAAGCCCGACGCTGAACCCGACGCCGCTTCCGACGCCAAGCCCGACGGGGAGCCCGACGGCGAGCCCGACGCCAAGCCCGACGGCATATCCAACGCCAAGCCCGACCCCAATCCCGACGCCAAGCCCGACGCGGACCCCGACGTCTGCGCCCACCTACCCACCGCTTGGGGATCTTGCATCATCTGGCACTTGCAGCTGCTCCAGCCCCCCATGCGGCTGCAATTGCTGGGATTGCACACAAGAGCGTCAAGCTGCTGGATGCTGCAGCTGCGGGAACGCTTCGAGTTGCGGTTATGCAGATACGGGTTCTTCGATATGCGACGGTTGCAATGGTTGTTGGCGCAATGGCAAGTGTGGCTGCAGTACAGATTCGGCTACTTGGCCCTACTATGAGGTATTCGGTCTCACGTGCTCGAGTGAGACAGGCAGCTACCTGTCCTACTACTACGTGTCACCGACGCCAGATCCGACGCCAAGCCCAACGCCAAGCCCGACTCCACTGCCACCTGGCGTCACGCTGTCTCCGACCCCAAGCCCGACGCCAAGCCCGACGCCAAGCCCGACGCTCTCGGAAGCGCAGCGAACCTGTGGTTGTGCGAGCCCACCCTGCGGTTGCAATTGTTGGGATTGCACAGAAGCGCGTAAAGCTGCTGGATGTTGCAGCTGCGATGATGGTTGTGGCTACTTCGATCTTGAAGGTTCTGTTTGCAACGGGTGCACTGGTTGTTGGCACGACGGCCAATGTGGATGCAGCAATGAATCGTCGACCTGGCTCTTCTATCGAGCTTTCGGTCTCACGTGCTCGAACGAATCAGGTAGCTACCTGTCGTATCACGCAAAGGTTACCGGCGAGTATACCTCGGTGGAAATTCTTCCAGATGGCGTGACTGCGGAGGACCTCATGCATTCCGCTCCCTATGTCGCCGCCAAGAAGACGGGTTTGGCTGCCGCTCTCAACGTGACCGCTTCCGACGTAAACATCACGGGCTTCACCATCACGGACCTCTCCGATCGTCGGTTCACCCCTCTTGCCCGCCAGTCGTCGGCCCTCGTCGCTGTGACGACGAGCTTCACTGTGGCCATCGCTGGCATGAACAGTGCCGACTCCCTGTCCGCTGCACTCGCCGCCGCCGGGAACGCCACCGAGGCCGAGACCAACGCCGCTCTGGCGGCGGCGGACTGGAGCGGCGAGCCTGTCCTCACCGCGCCCCCCGTGCTGTCGGGCACCGCCATGGGCGCCGCGGCCTCGACCGCGGGCGTCACCAGCGCCCCCACGCCGGTGCCCGTGGTCACCAGGGGCAACGGTTCGGGGGGGTAGGCTCACAGGGGGGGGTGCATCGACCACCAATGGCCCATTCGTCGCCGACAGGGGCCCGATAGGCCCAACCTGCCCAAGAGGGTGAAGATTCCCGCTTGGAGGCCCATCGCCGAGTTATCGGCGATGTAGTAGGGGAGAGCGAACAATGGCAGAAACACAAAAACTCGGAGGTCCGCGCGGATGTCTTGGATCCGCAATGGACCCCCCTCCCTGGCGCGCGGAGCGCGCCGGGGGCGGCGCCGGAGGCGCCGCCAGGGGGCTCCAGCGCCGATCCGAGAAATCAGCGCGGACTTCCGAGTTATTATGTCAATGTCCTGCTTCGCTCCTCCATGTATCGCCGATCCTAGCTCGATGCATCCCCCCCTTATGATGCCACTCCCCCCCGCATTTCGTTGCCCCGCAGGTCATCGGGGCCAGCATGGGCGCCGTGGCGGGCACCGGAGACCCGCACCTGCAGAACATCTACGGCGAGCGCTTCGACCTCATGCAGGCCGGCAGGCACGTCCTGGTCCACATCCCCAGGGGCGCGCGCAGCGAGGGCACCCTGCTCCGCGTCGACGCGCAGGCGGAGACCCAGACGTGATCGTCGTGAGCAAAAAATCCGGGCGGGAGGTGTTTTGGGCCAATTGCGGCCCAGGGGGGCCTTCGCCAGGCCTTGGGGGCCGTCAAGCAACGACGCAGGGCGAAAAGCCGGCCCCGGGGAAAGGGTCTCGGACTTCCAGGGACGCCGTCTTGAAGAAAGCAGGACGTCGCATGTCTGGGCCTGCTCCGCGGCGACGCGCAGGCGGAGAGGCTCGGCGAGCTGTGCGCGGACATGTACTTCCAGGAGCTGAACATCACGGGCAAGTGGGTGGAGGCGCATCAGGCTGGCGGTCTCCAGTACCGTGCGGCGGACGCTGTCGCCGGTGATCCCAAGTGGATGCAGTTCGGCAAGGCGGACATAAAAGTCAAGCATGGGCACACGCTGCAGGGCATCCGCTATCTGAACGTCTACGTGAGGCACCTGGACCGCACCGGCTTCTCGGTCGGCGGGCTGCTCGGAGAGGACGACCACAGCCTCGCGGTGACCCCTCCCAAGGACTGCAGGCACCTCCAGCTCAGCCTCTGAGCTGGGGGCACCGCAGGCGGCCTCTCGTTTCGGGCCCCGAGGCGCCTGTGCGAAATCCGTGCGAGAGATTGGCTGGAAATGCTGCCCGTTCTGGGCATGAACGGCCCTCCTCTCTTCAGCTGAGACTGTAGCAGGGATGTCGTAATCAGTTAGTATACTCTTACTCTTCCCGTCCGTGCTGGTCATGGTCCTCCTCATCCCCCCAATCCTTCTTTTCGCTCGGTGACTCGAACATTCCCGAGCACCCCCCCCACGCCACGTAGCTGCTGCGCCCCCGCTCATTCGGAAATCCTCGATCTCCGAGCCTCGAACTTCGAGCAGCTCCCTTAGGCCTATGTATTTTTTTCCTTGAGGGAACGAGCGCGCGGGCACACCGCCTGTCGCGACGCGAACGTCCCCTGGGCGCGCAGGCCCTCGCCTGCGAGGGCGCGCTCCTTCTGCCCGAGGGCGTGCGGCCCTGGCCCGCCACGCCCCCGGCCTTTTGTTCACCGGCTTCCCCTCGCCCTGGGCGCCGCACCGCGCAGGGGGGGCAGCGGCGGGTCCCCCGCCGCTGCCCCGCCACGTGGCCCCGCCCCACGGAGCGACCGCCGACAGCCTTGGCCCGTGACTGCCGGCCAGGGTGCACCGAGCGCGCGTTCCGCCACTCGCAGAGTGCCCACTCGCACGCGGCAGGAACAAAATGGGCGCTCACTCTTATCCGCAGCTGCGGGGTGCTACGCATATGGACGTAGTTATGTATGTGTGTATGTCTGCATGTGTTCGTATATGCGTGTATGGATTCATGTATGCATGGACGGATGTACGTATGTATGCTCATTTGTTTGTTTGCATGCATACATACATATGTTATGTATGTATGTTTGTATGTTTGTATGTATATAGGTATGTGCACGTGTGCATGGGTTCATGCATGCATGGTTGTTTGTATGTATGTATGTATGTGTGTATGCGTGTGCGTGTGTGTATGCGTGTATGCATGCATGCATGCATACATGTATGTATGTATGTACGTATGTATGTGTAGGTGTGTAAGTGTGTTGTGTGTATGCGTTTACGCGTGTGTGTGTGTATGTGGTTGTGTGTACGGGTGTACCTAGTGTTTGTGTGTATGTGGTAGTGTGCATGTGTGTATGTGTGTATGTGTGTGTATGTGTTTGTGTGTTTGCGTGTATACGTGTTTGTATGTATATGTGTATGCCTGCAACTGGTTATGTATGTGTGTATATGTATGACGGCATGTAGGTGTGTATGTTTGTGTGTGTGTATGTGTGTCTGCGTGTCTGCGTGTATGCGTGTATGTGTGTACGTGCGTGCCTGCTTGTATGTATGTCTGTCTGTCTGTCTGTCTGTCTGTCTGTCTGTCTGTATGTATGTATGCCTGCGTATGTCCGTACCTATGTATATATGCATGCATGTGTGTAAGTACAGCGTTGTATATCTATTTTATTTATTTATATATATAACGGTGTAGGCCGCGGGTGGGCCCGGGAGCACGGCCCTGGATTGGCATGGCCGCTCTTGGAGCTCCACGGTCGCCGCGATACCCCATGAGCGCCCCGATGGCTCCAAAATTGCGATCGAAGTCGACCAGACTGTTTCAACACAAGCCGAGACCGCCGAAGATGGCTCTTGGACGGCCCCCGAAGGGTTCGCGCCAGGACGGCCCTGGGCGGCCTTCAGTAGTCGCAAGAGGTCCCAGAAGTGGGCCCCGAGAGGCATCCATCGTCCCACTCCATTGCGGGAACGCGCATGTCCAGCATGCTGCATTTGTCGCGTTTTGCCGTTTCCAGGACGGCCCAAGAGGCCCCAAGACGGTCCCAAGGCGGGCCAGCAGCACCCCCAATATGGGCCCGGAGTAGCACCGCAGCCGTTGGGTTCGTACACAAATTGCTGAAACCGTCAGCTTACAATCCTCACAAGTCCACAAATACCAACACACTCTTTCCGAGTACGTTTTTATCGCCCATGGCGGCCATGAAGTTAACCATCGTCATGATGCTAGCACGCGGCTGGGCCAGTGTGAACGGCACCTTGACATCCGATGTACACTTAATCCAGACGCGCATCGTGGAGCAGCACGACGGCACCAAGAGCACCAAGCCCACCAGCGGCAGGAGCCACGCAAAGCGCAACGTAGCGGCACCAAGCGTACAGCCGAGTGGATGCGTTGATAATGATGCAGGCGCTGTTGACTTTGCAAAGGGTCATGCGCGGATGGATGACGTCAGCAGCTGCTTGGACGTCGGCCCTTTCTGCGCGGACGCGAACCTCTCGGGCCAGATCCTGGCGCTGTGCTGCGCCACGTGCACGGCGGGGCCGGCCCCAGAGCACGGCGCGGTCCACTGCCAGGATCACTCGGAGTGTCCGTCCTCGGAGTTCTGCTACGACGGCACGTGCGACAGTTGCAGCCAGTGCCAGTTCTGCTCCGACTGCAACTACGCCGACGAGTGCGGGCACTGCGGCGCGGGGTTCCCGACGCAGGAGACAACCCCTTGCCACGCCCACGAGTACGAGGTCACCAGGGGCCCCGTCACGGTCACACACGCGTGGAAGAACATGTCTTCGGATCAGCAGCTACATTTTCTCGAGGAGAAGTTCGGCGAGCTCGACAAGGATAACTCTTCGTCCCTGGACGTGGACGAGCTCGTCGGCACCTTGACCGGACAGGACCTCGTCGCGCTCGAGGGCGCCAGCGATCACATCAATGTCCCCTTTGACAGCGTCATACTTTCCAGGGCCTCGGTGCAGGAGTTTGTCGAGAAGCACAGTGCCAGCGGCAGCGCCTTCCTGACCCTCGATGAGTGGCTCGCCACGACTCCGCAGACGGAACCAGCTGCCCGAGCGAAGGCCTTGCGCGGGCCCTCCTGCTCCTTCGAGGAGATCTTCTCGCTCCCCAGCACTTGCACGGAGACGCAGTGGGTAGACAACTGCGGGAACACCTGCAGCGACAGTTGCACCAAGTGCGCACGAATGGCGCACTCGAGCTCGAGCTCCGCTGCTCCCATCGACCAGAATTCGAGCTCCGTCGCGCGAGCGTCCCAAGAGCTTGAGTTCTGGGGCGGGCGGCGCCGGCGTCGTTGGTTCAGCGCCGTCACGGATGTGGTCAACACGGTCGTCGACTTCGCTGCATGCACCGTGAGTTGCGTGACGAATTGCGTGTGGACATGTTTTACCGAGGCAGTGGAGTACGTGTACCATTGCGTGGTCGACACTGTGGTGACAACGCTCATGGGTTTCGGAGAGTGTCTGTCAACGGTGATCAACGCTGTCCACGACGCGGTCGGTGACGCATGCGGTTTCGATCTCATCCCCACAGGGTGTTCAGGCGTCTTTGATTGTATCGCAGAGGGCGCGAGCAATGCCCTCTCACTGTTCGAGTGCGGGTTTTCTGTTCTGTTGGATATACTCGAGAACATGGTCATGGCAAACCTTCGTTGCCTGCCGAACCTCGCCGACGGGCTTAGGGCGGCCCTATTTCCTCCCGAGGCTATAATTGTCACGACGGTTTTCGAGGCATTGTGGAATTTCGGTGAGCGGGTCGTGAACGGGATCTACGAAGAAGCTTCGTCCGTAAGCATCGACTTCTGCTGGAACTCGGCCCCCACTGCCGAATTTACTGATTGTGGCGCCTTCGATTTCGTCAGCAGTATGACTATATGGGACGTGTTCGACGTGTTCGGGATGGCCGCGCGTTTTTCTGAAACTGTGACGAAGTTTACGAACTGCTTGACGAAGTTTACAAGCTTGCCGGGGGTATCCTTCGGCATCCCGACCCCCTTTCTGAACGTTGATTGGACAGGAGGCTCATGGTGTGCGCCAAGCTTCGTTCAAACAGCAGCCAAAGGAGTCATTGGCGTGTTCAAGTACGTATCTTCAGGACGGATGCTCGATGACCTCATCACTGTAGGTGACAATCTCCTCACCAATCTTCAGACGAGATTGGAAGCAGTGTTCTGTGACGAAGGCGACTTTACCATCACTTTGGGCGTCGACCTCCAGTTCGGATACGCAGTGCTTGGAATCAAGGCTCAGGCTGGATGCCTCAATGGAAGATTCGCCGCCAAGATTGTCGGCTTTGCCACAGGCAGAATTTCCATCTTCGGTTCGCCGTACACGTGGGATCCACTTGCCAGTGCGTTCTTCAGTATTGGTTGCACGGCGGGGCCCTCAAGTACGGAGTGGTCGTACTGGTCGTCGTCTCTGAACGGCATCCTCGCGTTCGATATTGTCGCGGGGGTGGTTTCTCTGCCTCTCTATCCAGAGCCGAAGCTCGAGTTTGGCTACGACTTCGCGATCACACTCTGGCCCCAACCAGCCCCGCCCCCACGCCTGTCGGAGGGGGAGTTCAGCAAGACATCCCTGCTGCCGGCGCTGCGCCTCCTCTCCAGGGCAACCTCCGAGCCCAGCTTCGGTGAAGACGTCAAGAGCAAGTTCCCAGACCCCAAGCCTATCCTCGAGGGGGCCCGCAACGGGTCGCTCCAGAGGGCCAGCACGAACAAGAGTGTAGGTGATCTCGCCGCCAGGATCGCCATCTCCGTCTCGAAGAATTTCTGTTTTACGTGCGATGGTTTTGGGTCGGAGCCTGCCTGGGTCACGGGCCTGTCCAGTATGGCCCAGCAGTTCAGCTGCAGTGTGGGCCAGGCGATGGCGGGAGCCTCTTGGGGTGCCGTGAGCCTTGCCCAGTGTTTTGCGAGAGTGGCAGACTGGGAGGCGGCCGGGAACTACTGCGAGTACTTGTATTCCGACTCGCCGAGCAACGGCGGTTTGGGGAGCACCTGCGCTTGCATGCCGCCCGATGCGATGAGTTCGGGGGTCTGCCGTGCCCAGGCTGGAAGCAGGGTCAGCGAGGGTTCGACGGCCTTCGTGACTTACCGGCATCAAATGCTGACTTGCGAGACTGGGGCCGGGGCGGCTTGCAGGACTTGTACCTCGCCGCAGGAGCGAGTAGTGAGAGACCAATGTGAGACTTGCAACGACGGCCACATCCTGGTCGGCTACACGTGCTCGGCCTTCACGCCCTCTCCGACGCCAAGCCCGACGTCGTATCCGACGCCAAGCCCGACGCCAAGCCCGACGCCAAGCCCCACGCCACTGCCTCCCGGCAACACGCACTCTCCGACGTCAAGCCCGACGCCAGAGCCGACATTGCACCCGACGCCAAAGCCTACACCAAGCCCGACTGGGTATCCGACGCCAAGCCCGACGGCCTATCCGACGCCACACCCGACGCCACACCCGACGCCTGCTCTGGGGGGAAATTCATGGGTGCAGTTATTGGACAATTTCGAATACTACGGCGTCGCCATGCCTTCATATGTTGCCCCTATGGCGTACGGGTCGTTCACACAGTTGCAAGCAACTTACGTGGGTGGAGCTGGCATCTGGTGCGATACAAAAAGGTCTGGCGGCACCGTGTGGCAACAGTGCTGCTGTGGGTACAGTGGGTCCTTCGAGTTCATGAAGAATGGAGGGTACATCTTGTCACAAAGCCAGTGGGGTACGCTGCCGCCCCAATGCTCAGTGTCTGGGCACACAGTTACTTGCAATGTCAACTTTGACTTGTCGCTCGGCGATACGATTCTGGCCACTTGGTACGAGCCTTCCCGGTCAACATCGCTCGGAGACAATGGCGGCAACATCGTGGTGGACGTGTACGGGTATGGCTCGACATCGCAAGGTTGGTCTAAATTTTACCAGATCCAGGATGGCGACAGGGGGTCCTATGCCTTCCCCCTGACAACCGGAGCTTACGGAAACATTTATTCGTCGATCGGCTCAAGTAATGCAAAGTTGTCCGATGTTGCTATCAATTCAATGGCGTTGGCCAGAGACGGCTACTCGCACGTGTACGCAATCAAAAGCTCCGATTGCTCTTCGTACCTATATGTCAGGTCGAACGACGCGTACGTTGACACATCGGCATCGTTTGGCCTTACCCAGGGCAATACCCGTGTTGGGCTTGGGACCTCGTACGAGTCGGTGTCGACCTGGGCCACTCTACGTTCCACAAGCCACGGCATAGACTTACTCTACACAAGCCCAAATCTTGGTGGGGAGTCGTGCTGTCGTTACTTCTTCGGACATGGACAGATCGATTGTTGGGCCGGCCCTTCGGGCTACCGCTGCGTCAACGGTGGATCCTCGTGTTCCGATTATAAGAAGTTGGAAGATGTAGTGTTTTACATATGGGCGGACACTGCAACATACAGCCCGACATCCTACCCGACTCCCCGCCCAACGTTCTTCCCGACGGCCTACCCGACGCCAGACCCGACGCCCCACCCGACGCTAGAGCCGACGCCCTACCCGACGAAGTTTCCAACGCCAAACCCGACGCACATCCCGACTCCAAGCCCGACGCTGAACCCGACGCCGCTTCCGACGCCAAGCCCGACGGGGAGCCCGACGGCGAGCCCGACGGCAAGCCCGACGGCATATCCAACGCCAAGCCCGACCCCAATCCCGACGCCAAGCCCGACGCGGACCCCGACGTCTGCGCCCACCTACCCACCGCTTGGGGATCTTGCATCATCTGGCACTTGCAGCTGCTCCAGCCCCCCATGCGGCTGCAATTGCTGGGATTGCACACAAGAGCGTCAAGCTGCTGGATGCTGTAGCTGCGGGAACGCTTCGAGTTGCGGTTATGCAGATACGGGTTCTTCGATATGCGACGGTTGCAATGGTTGTTGGCGCAATGGCAAGTGTGGTTGCAGTACAGATTCGGCTACTTGGCCCTACTATGAGGTATTCGGTCTCACGTGCTCGAGTGATACAGGCAGCTACCTGTCCTACTACTACGTGTCACCGACGCCAGATCCGACGCCAAGCCCAACGCCAAGCCCGACTCCACTGCCACCTGGCGTCACGCTGTCTCCGACCCCAAGCCCGACGCCAAGCCCGACGCCAAGCCCGACGCCAAGCCCGACGCTCTAGGAAGCGCAGCGAACCTGTGGTTGTGCGAGCCCACCCTGCGGTTGCAATTGTTGGGATTGCACAGAAGCGCGTAAAGCTGCTGGATGTTGCAGCTGCGATGATGGTTGTGGCTACTTCGATCTTGAAGGTTCTGTTTGCAACGGGTGCACTGGTTGTTGGCACGACGGCCAATGTGGATGCAGCAATGAATCGTCGACCTGGCTCTTCTATCGAGCCTTTGGTCTCACGTGCTCGAACGAATCAGGTAGCTACCTGTCGTATCACGCAAAGGTTACCGGCCAGTATACCTCGGTGGAAATTCTTCCAGATGGCGTGACTGCGGAGGACCTCATGCATTCCGCTCCCTATGTCGCCGCCAAGAAGACGGGTTTGGCTGCCGCTCTCAACGTGACCGCATCCGACGTAAACATCACGGACTTCACCATCACGGACCTCCCCGATCGTCGGTTCACCCCTCTTGCCCGCCAGTTGTCGGCACTCGTCTCTGTGACGACGAGCTTCACTGTGGCCATCGCTGGCATGAACAGTGCCGACTCCCTGTCCGCTGCGCTCGCCGCCGCCGGGAACGCCACCGAGGCCGAGACCAACGCCGCTCTGGCGGCGGCGGACTGGAGCGGCGAGCCTGTCCTCACCGCGCCCCCCGTGCTGTCGGGCACCGCCATGGGCGCCGCGGCCTCGACCGCGGGCGTCACCAGCGCCCCCACGCCGGTGCCCGTGGTCACCAGGGGCAACGGTTCGGGGGGGTAGGCACAGGGGGGGTAGGTATCGACCCCCAACTGCCCCTTCGTCGCCGACAGGGGCCCGATAGGCCCCGACCTGCCCAGGAGGGTGCGGATTCCCGCTTGGAGGCCCATCGCCGAGTTATCGGCGTTGTGGTAGGGGAGGGGACAATGGCAGAAACACAAAAACTCGGAGGTCCGCGCGGATGTCTTGGATCCGCGCTGGACACCCCTGCCTGGCGCGCTCCGCGCGCCAGGGGCGGCGCCGGAGGCGCCGCCAGGGGGCTCCAGCGCCGATCCGAGAAATCAGCGCGGACTTCCGAGTTATTATGTCAATGTCCTGCTTCGCTCCTCCATGTATCGCCAATCCTAGCTCGATGCATCCCCCCCTATGATGCCACTCCCCCCCGCATTTCGTTGCCCCGCAGGTCATCGGGGCCAGCATGGGCGCCGTGGCGGGCACCGGAGACCCGCACCTGCAGAACATCTACGGCGAACGCTTCGACCTCATGCAGGCCGGCAGGCACGTCCTGGTCCACATCCCCAGGGGCGCGCGTAGCGAGGGCACCCTGCTCCGCGTCGACGCGCAGGCGGAGACCCAGACATGATCGTCGTGAACTTAGCCTGGCGAAGGACCCAACCATATGCAGTTGTGAATACCGCAATTGTGAATACTATCTTCGCCCGCGCTCCCTATGTGGCCACGGCTTCCCGCCGGAGCCCGACATGCTCAGGAACACGTTCGTGGCCGTCTTCGCGGGCGCCGACGACCACAAGGACGGCGTCCCTCTGACCGAGGAGCAGAAGCAGGAGAGGGCTTTGGGAGCCATGGGGGGGTGGTGGCGTTGCACGTCGGCAAGGCGGAGTACGACGCCCAGGCGCGGTTGTTGAAGCAGCACAACTATGGGGCCACGGTCCTTGTGAGGGGTGTGCAGAAATGGCCCGGGGCGGCCATTCGAACCCTGCCACTGGCGCCTTCGGCGGAGCTCCTGTGGGGCCACGATCCTTGTGAGGGGTGCGCCGAAGTGGCCCGAGGCCGCCATGCGAACCTTGCCAGTGGCCCCTTCGGTGGACTTCCTATGGGGCCGCGGTCCTCGTGAGGGGCGTGCCGAAATGGCCCGAGGCCGCCATGCGAACCCTGCCACTGGCGCCTCGGGCGCGCCGAAATGGCCCGAGGAGTTCCGTATGGGGCCGCGATCCTCGTGCGGGGTGCGCCGAAATGGTGCGGGGCCGCCGCGCGAACCCCGCCACTGGCGCCTTCGGTGGAGCGCCATATGGGGCCATGATCCTCGCGAGGGGCGTGCCGAAACGTGACGGGGCCGCCATGCGAACCTTGCCACTGGCGCTTCGGTGGAGCCCCCTTACGGGGCCACGATTCTCGCGCGGGGTGTGCCGACGCGGCCCGAGGCCGCCATGCGAACCCTGCCACTGGCGCCTTCGGTGGAGCTCATCGGAGGTTGGGGGGTGAGATCGCAGCGTAACGGAGCCCCCCCGCCGGGAAATCGAGTTTCGAGTTCGTGCTCGTGCCGCGCGCGCGGGCGAGGCGCTGCGTGGGCCAGCGAGAGGAATTCACCCTGCTGTCGCTAGGGGTCCGCCAACACAAATGTTCCCCCCCCCGGCCTCGTCAAGCGGTAGCCCACGTTGTCCCGTCGGTTGCCCGCTGGTAGCCCACGTTGTCCCGTCGGTTACCCGTCGGTGCATCCATCGTCGACTGGGACGTCGCGGGCGGAGTGCCGCGTCGCGCAGCGGCAAACCGAACGACACAAGTCGCCCAAGCGAAGGAACAAACAAATCCGCCACGTCATCCACACCATCATCGCAGCGCCACGTTCATCACAGTTGTCGTCATGAGCCACCCCCCCCTCCCCACAACCTCCTTATCACCCGCAGGGTGGTCGTATAGGTATGGAACCACGTTCCTCGTGAGGGGTGTGCCGAAATGGCCCGACGCCGCCATGCGAACCTTGCCATTAGCGCCTTCGGTGGAGCTTCCCATGAGGCCACGATCTCGTGAAGGTGTGCCGACACGCCCGAGGCCGCCATGCGAACCCTGCCACTGGTGCCTTGGCCCGAGGCCGCCATGCGAACCCTGCCATTGGGGCCTTCGGTGGAGCTTCCCATGAGGCAGCGATCCTCGTGAGGGGTGTGCCGAAATGGCCCGAGGCCGCCATGCGAGCTTTGCTACAGGCGCGTTCGGTGGAGTTCCTTTGGGGCCACGATCCTCGTGAGGGGTGTGCCGACATGGCCCGAGGCCGCCATGCGAACTTTGCCACTGGCGCCGTCGGTGGAGCTTTTCTATGGGGCCACGATCCTCGTGAGGGGTGTGCCGAAATGGCCCGACGCCTCCATGCGAACTTTGTCATTCGAGCCTTCGTTGGAGCTCCTGTGGGGCCACGATCCTCGTGAGGGGTGTGCCGAAATGGCCCGAGGCCGCCATGCGAACTTTGTTACTGGCGCCTTCGGTGGAGCTCCTATACGGCCACGGTCCTCGTGAGGGGTGTGGAGCTCCTGTGGGGCCACATGATCCTCGTGAGGGGTGTGCCGAAATGGCCCGAGGCCGCCATGCGAACTTTGTTACTGGCGCCTTCGGTGGAGCTCCTATACGGCCACGGTCCTCGTGAGGGGTGTGCCGACGCGGCCCGAGGCCGCCATGCGAAGTTTGCCAGTGGCGCCGTCGGTGGAGCTCCTATGGGGCCATGATCCTCGTGAGGGGTGTGCCGAAATGGCCCGAGGCCGCCATGCGAACTTTGTTACTGGCGCCTTCGGTGGAGCTCCTATACGGCCACGGTCCTCGTGATGGGTGTGCCGACGCGGCCCGAGGCCGCCATGCGAACTTTGCCAGTGGCGCCGTCGGTGGAGCTCCTATGGGGCCATGATCCTCGTGAGGGGTGTGCCGACATGGCCCGAGGCTGCCATGCGAACCTTGCCATTAGCGCCTTCGGTGGAGCTCCTATGGGGCCACGATCCTCGTGAGGGGTGTGCCGGAATCGCCCGGCGCCGCCATGCGAACTTTGTTGCTGGCGCCTCCGGTGGAGTTCCTATGGGGCCACGATTTTTTTGAAAGGTGCCAAAGTTGGATGTACCTAAATGGGTTGGTGCCGAGATCGGTGATCATGACGATGTTGATGATGATGACGATCGTGATGATGATGCGGATGATGATGGTGATGATGATGATGGTGATGCTGATTATGATTGTTATGGTTATTCGCATTTTGATGCTGATGACGATGATGGTGATGATGATGACGATGATGAGAGGAGGAAGGAGGGGACACTGGGAGGAGGAAGGAACGCGGGGCGCTGTCTGTTCAAAACGAGGACCCAACACCAAAGGATGGGTGGAAACACCCGGACGGGAGTTTTTCTTTTTTTGTTTCTCCATTTTCGGCCCAAAGGGGCCTTCGCCGGGGTTTCGGGGCCGTCAAACAACGACTCAGGGCGAAAAGCTGGCCCCGGGGAAGGGTCGGGACTTCCAGGGGCGCCGTCTTGAAGAAAACACGACGTCGCATGTGTGGGCCTGCTCCGCGTCGACGCGCAGGCGGAGAGGCTCGGCGAGTTGTGCGCGGACATTTACTTCCAGGAGCTGAACATCACGGGCAAGTGGGTGGAGGCGCAGCAGGCTGGCGGTTTCCAGTACCGTGCGGCGGACGCTGTCTCCGGTGATCCCAAGTGGATGCAGTTCGGGAAGGCGGACATAAAAGTCAAGCATGGGCACACGCTGCAGGGCATCCGCTATCTGAACGTCTACGTGAGGCACCTGGACCGCACCGGCTTCTCCGTCGGTGGGCTGCTCGGAGAGGACGACCACAGCCTCGCGGTGACCCCTCCCAAGGACTGCAGGCACCTTCAGCTCAGCCTCTCTTCAGCTGAGACTGTAGCAGGGACGTCGTGATTAGTTAGTATGCTGGTACTCTTCCCGTCCGTGCTGGTCATGGTCCTCATCCCTCCAATCATGTTTTCCGCTCGGTGACTCGAACATTCCCGAGCACCCCCCCCACGCCACGTAGCTGCTGGTCCCCCGCTCATTCGGAAATCCTCGATCTCCGAGCCTCGAACTTCCAGCAGCTCCCTTAGGCATAATGATTATTTCTTGAGGGAGCGAGCGCGGCTGCACACCTTTCGTCGCGACGCGAACGTCCCCTGGGCGCGCACGCCATCGCTTGCGAAGCGCGCTCCTTCTGCCTCCGAGGGCGTGCGGCCCTGGCCCGCCACGCCCCCGGCCTTTTGTTCACCGGCTCCCCCTCGCCCTGGGCGCCGCACCGCGCAGGGGGGCAGCGGCGTCCCCCGCCGCTGCCCGGCCCCGCGGCCCCGCCCCACGGAGCGACCGCCGACAGCCTTGGCCCGTGACTGCCGGCCAGGGTGCACCGAGCGCGTTCCGCCACTCGCAGAGTGCCCACTCGCACGCGGCAGGAACAAAAACACAGGTTTCCATCCCTGGAATGGATCGCGGATCCCCCGCGGCGGATCCAGACCATTTGCGAGCGGCTACTTCTTGCGAGTAGTGGAATCGCCCTTGTCCACAGGTACGCGTTGTGAGCTCACGGCGCTCTCGAGGCCGACGAGGTCCTGAAAAAGAGGTCGCTGGCCCTCGGGGCGGCCGACGTGAGGGACGCCTGCGGCGAGTCGCCGCAGCCCCCTGCCTTGTGGCATCGCCCATGTGGCCGAACGTTGTGGCCAGAGCTCTGCCAAGCTATCGGACCATGGGCTCCCCCGGGCCGTTGTGGAAACCCTTCGGGGAACATGCGGGGGAGGCAGAAGAAGCGGAGGAGAGGGAGGACAAATGGAGATGAGGAGATGGAGGAGGAGGAGCAGGAGGAAGAGGAGGAGGGGGAGGAGGAGTCTGAGGAGGAGGAGGAAGAGGAGGAGGAGGAGGACTCTTGGAGCTTTCTGGGAGCTTCTTGTGGACCTCTCGGAGACTTCTTGGAAGCCTCCTTGGGCCTTTTGGGAGCCTTTTGAGGCTTCTTGGGGCCCTCTTTGGCAGTCTTCGGGCGTTCCTGGCCCGTCCGACGCCGTCGGAAGCTGTCTCAGGGGCCTCCCTGCACCGACGTGAGGCCCTCTTTGGGCGCTTCAGGGCCATCTTGGAGGCCACCATGGGCGTCTTGGAGGCCTCTTGGGCCGTCTTGGGGCCCACTTGCGGCCGTCTTGGAGGCTTCTTGGGCCATCATGGGGTCATCTTGGAGACCTTTGGGGCCATCTTGGAGCGATCTTGGGCCCTCTTTGGCCGTCGGAAGGCCGTCGCCAGGGCGAAAGGAAGCAACGGGCAAATCAGTCAAACACCTGAGTCAGAGTGAGGGGGCCGAACGGTCATTCACTGTCCCTGGGCGCGTGGCTGAAGTGAGATTCTGCGGCGTCAGGGGTTGTTGTTGCTGTTGTTGTGACCGTGGTGGTGATTGTTGTTGAACTCATCACTGAAAAACAAATGCTGTTGATCCCCCCTCCGGTAACATATCTGTTTTTCAATTGAAGGGCCCCTCCCGGGGCTCGCACCTCGCTTTCTATTACAGGAAAGATTTCCTCCTCAAACTGCGCCCATGGCCCACAGGCTACAACAACGGTTCCCGCCTGATACTTCCAAGCAATTTGCTGAGGAATCGCGCTCTTGCTAGGGACCTGCTCGCAATTTATCGAAGAATCGCGCTCTCGCTTGTGACTTCCTCGCAATGTATTCAGGCGCCACGTCCTCGCCATTCAGGAATCGCGCTCTCGCCTGGAAATTCTTCATTATTTACTTTAGGAATTGCGCTCTCGCCCAATATCCCCTGGCGAACTATGCAAAGTTCACGTATTCGCGTAAGAGACGTGTTGTTTAATTGAAGTGTCCCTCCCGGGGCTCGCTGGGTTTTTATCGGGGAGCGTCTTCTTGTTCAAGTTATGCATTTAGCCCCCGGTTTACAACAACAGCAAAAACAAAAACATTATCAACAACAACACATACAACAACAGCAGCAACAACAACAACAACGGCTCCCGCTTGATATTCCCCCCACAACCTATTTCCAAATCGCGCTCTCGCGAAGGACTTCCTCATACTTTAACGCAGTTTTCGAGTGGGACATCCAGTTGATTCAGACGCCACGCCCTCGACACTCAGGAATCACGCTCGCGCTGTGGATTTCTTCAAGATGTACTGGGGAACCGCGCTGTCGCTCGAGACTTCTTCGCGACTCATGCGGTAACGCTTTAGCAGCCCGCCTGCTCGACCTGGCCGTCCAGGCCCGCCTTCCCGATCCGCCCGTTAGGGTCTACCCGCTCGATCTGCCCGTCTGGTCCTGCCATATCTTTTCTGCAACTAGCCCCCCTGTCATTTTCTCTCGTGCTCCATCTTCCTCCGTCCCCCTTGTCCCTTACTTTCGTCCGTCCTCTCTGTCCCTGCCTTCGGGGCTGCACGAAATACACGCTGCAGGCAAGAAAGATACATCCCGAATGGGGTACGATCGAAGACGAAGAGGGCGCGGGTATCGAGGGTTTTGGGATATACGTGTTGAGCGGCACGCGAACGTGGAAGAGCGAACAGTCTTACAATGAGTGTTGTTGATGATGTTGATGCTGTTGTTGCTGTTGTTGCTGTTGTTGGTGTTGGTGTTGGTGTTATTGCTGGTGTTATTGCGCTAAACAATTATTATTGTTGGACCCCTTATAGGCGCCCTGGCATTGAACATGAGGATCACGCTCGAGTGGTTTGGGGAACCGCAAAAACCGGCCTCCCAACAACAACAACAACAACAACAACAACAACAACAACAACAACAACAACAACAACGCTCCCGCTCGAGACTTCCTCTTTTTTTACTCAGGGCTAGTGTTATTGCTCGCCGCCGAAAGCCGCCATCCTAACAAAACCAGCCCTCCCGCTCGAGATGTCCTCCAATTTTACCTTGGACTGGCGCGCTAGTCTTTCTCTCATCGGCGCCGCCCCCAGCGAAAACAACGCTCCCGCTCGAGGCGGTGCTCCTCCTCGCCGCCGAAAACCGCCGCCCCGACAAAACCAGCTTTCCCGCCCGAGAGTTCCTTTCGTTTTACGCTGGACTGGCGCCCTACTCTCTTTTGAATTGGCGCCGCTCCCACCAAGAACAACGCTCCCGCTCGAGATTCCCTATCTTTTTCCTCTGGACGGTGCTGTTCGTCGCCGCCGACAGCCCCCGTCCCGACAAAACCACGGCTCCCGCTCGATGCTTCCTCCTTTCTTAGTCAAGGCGGTGTTCTTGCTCGCCGCCGAAAGCCGCCGTCCCAACCAAACCAGCGCTCCCGCTCGAGACTTCGTTTTGTTTTACGCTGGATTGGCGCCCTACTCTCTTTTGAATTGGCGCCGCTCCCAGCAACAACAGTAGCCCTGCTCGAGACTTCCTCCCTTTCTATTCAGGGCCAGGTCCTTGCGTCACCACCGACATCCCCCATCCCCACGAAGGCAATCCTGTCGTTCGATACTTCCTTGTGCTTTATCCTTCGCTGGGGTTCAACTGGCGGTCTCGCATCGGCGCAGCAAGGCGCGGGCATGTGTTTTCGAGAAGGATATGTTGAAATTCCTCGGAGGAGGTTTTTGCAAGACCTCATTGGGCGGGAGATTTGGGAATGGGAATAACGGAGCCCGCTATAGAACAAGAGTCCCCCATGATGTGGATGGTTATCATGATGGTCGCATGCTTCGTGTGGAAGCATCGCGCATGAGGGTAAAATGACTGTTGTTGTTGAACTCTCGTTATTGAACACATAATTATGGTTGATCCCCCCACCGGTGACCATGATGATTTTTCAATTGAAGTTTTCCCCCTTGTTTTTATCAGTGGAAGTCTCTAGGCTCAAACTGTGCCCCTGGCCCTGGCCCCCGGTTTACAACAACAGCCGCTCCCGTTTCAGATTTCTTCACGATTTAGCCAGGACCTCCGCTACCGCCTGAGACTTCCTCGCATTTGACTCAGGAGTCGCGCTCTCGCTTGGGACTTCCTCGCAGTTTATGTAGGAATCGCTCTCTCGGCGCTCTGGATTCGCGCTCTCGCTGGAGACTCGTTTGCAAATTATTCGAGAATCACGCCATTTCGTTGGAATTCCCGCAATTTACTCAAGCGCCGCGTTCCCGACACTCTGGCACCCAGGAGTCGCGCTCACCCTTAGGACTCCCTCACGGCTTATTTAGGAATCCGGATCTCGCTGCCATTTCGTGGCCCCGTTGCAGCCCTTCGTGGCCCTGTCGCTGCCCTTCGTGGACCCGTTGCAGCCCTTCGTGGCCCCCTCGCTGCTCTTCGTGGCCCCGTTGCAGCCCTTCGTAGCCCCCTCGCTGCCCTTCGTGGCCCCGTTGACGCCCTTCGTGGCCCCCTCGCTGCCCTTCGTGGCCCTGTTGCAGCCCTTCGTGGCCCTCTCGCTGTTCTTCGTGGCCCCGTTGCAGCCTTTTATGCCCTTTCGCTGCCCTTCGTGGCCCCATATGTGTAATGCCCCTCGTGACCCCGCTCGTTCGCGCCCGCGGTGGTCCCATATGCATGCGTTTCGTGGCCCCGCCGTCGCCCTTTGCGGCCCCCTCGGTGCCCTTCGTGGCCCCGTTGCTGCCCTCAGTTGCCCCATCCTTGCCCTCTGCAGCCCAATATACGCATGCCCTTCCGGGCCCCCGTTCGTTCGCGCCCGTCGTGG